AGATGTTAAAAAAGGTGTTTCTACAGCTAGATTGTGGTTAAAGGCCTGTAACAATCAGTTCCAATATTTTTTTTCATGATATTGCTCACACACACAGACGTAAAGGTTTAAAAAAGGTTTAAATAAAAACCTTCTGCAAACCACAAAGTGGTTTGCAGAAAATCTGAGAAAAATTGTTAATAACTAAAATGTTTATTACCATAAGGTTTTCTCATGTTATTCCAAACCCATCTGATCTTTTTCCTTTTGTGTAACACAGAAGTAGTTATTGGCTCTTTTTCTTATAATACAAGTGTTTTGGGAACAGGGACTCTAAAAATGGTAAAAAAAAAATTAAAAAAAAGCCACCATATAGTTATACAACTTTTCCAGTCAAATATCTAAACATCCATAGAACAGAATTAATTTGCTTGAGATGGAAAATTGCATATCGTATTAAAAGTTTTCAGGGAATGTATTTTGAAATAAACTATTTTGTCTTTTTTTTTTCTTTTTTTTTCCATTTAAATTTAGGCTTACACTTAAAACCAATTAAACAAATCTGCCAGTGCAGATTCTCTAAACAGAACACTTGATATCTTATGCAGTTTTTCATTGCTTATCAGGTAGAATTATCTTATTTTAAGAAAGTTTGGGCTACTGCAAAACATGACGAATAACTTATTTTTGCATTTTGTTATATTACAAGCATTCTGAAGCCATACAAGAGCTTGGAACAGACCGAAATTTAAATCATTAATCTCCATAGCTCATTGAAATACAGCATGCATCATGTCAGGTTTTACTTTTTTTTTTTTTTTTTTTTACAAAATTAAGTCATTTGGGTTTGGAATGGCAAGAGGGTGAGTAAATGATTATAGAACTTTGCTTTTTTGTGTGTGAATTATTCCTATAGAGATGTATCACAAATGAACACCAAGATATAGCGATTCATGCTGTACCTGATCAGGGTCAGTAAAACTAAAGCATTCTGAGCTACTTCTAAACTGCGTGTCGGTTTGTCTCACTCACTGCTCTTCTTCAGAGGATAGCACTGCTTCAGGTCTTGACACGTGCGGGCAAGATAATGGCGAGTGACATCAGGACTGCGCATGCTGTCCAGCTGACTTCCCAAGCTCTTCAGAGGCATGTGAACTTCACTGTCGACCCAAACCGCATCAGAACCGTTGTTGGGCCTTGCCTCATCCTCATTGAACTCTGGTGGGGGAGGTGGAGGTTCCTCTGGCTCGGATTCAACATCAAGGTCGAAGTTTGTTCCAAAAAGGTTATCCACAGCGGCTGTAGGGGGGCCAGGAGAACCTGGGGGTCCAGGTGGTCCCTACAGACAGATGGGCGATACGGTTTATGCTGAACATTAGTGTTTAAACATCTAATCACATTAGCAGCATCTGGTAATTAATCATGATTATGAGTCATGAAGTATAAAGTGTATCTAATTATGAGTCATTAAAGATGGAAAATTGGCATTTGGAAAAAGAGACACAAAAAACACTTTATGAATTGTAGATTTTCTGTAATTAGTTGATTAGTTGGTTTAAACGAGTTTAGCTTGTTTCCCAGCATGGACACACAACTGTTCAGCTAGTTACATGTGAAAAATGCCCAAAACCTATCGATTCCAACTAAGACCTGCAAACTTCGTTAGACTGGTTTAAGCCGTTTCAGCAAGGAGATCCCATCTAATAATTTACATAAAATGCATCATAGACATAGTCTCATGCCTCACCTCAGGTCCAATATCTCCAGGGGCACCTCGAGATCCAGGAGCCCCCACTGCTCCAGGTGGACCTGTATCTCCTTTTCCTGGTGGACCAACAGGGCCAGGGGTTCCCTAATAATGACATGTTCAGTATTAAATTCTGTTCAACATGCATGTGTATTGCTGGTGCTTTGAGAATTCAAAGTTGAGTGATAGTTGAATCTGTTGCTTACTCTTTGGCCACTTGGTCCAATGATTCCTATAGCACCATCATCCCCTGGAGCACCCTGGAGGGAAATGATTGACAGATAATTATCAGAAGATAGTTACTGTATTGTGTTACAGGTGACATATTGTCAATTATACGTACTGATGTTCCAGGAAGCCCATGGAGTCCAGTGAAGCCACGATGGCCCTTCTGACCTCTCTCACCCACATCTCCTTTGTCACCTTTGTCTCCCATTGGTCCTTGTGGTCCCTAAGGTTGTTTAGAAGACATTTTCACTTGGTTGATAAACACAGGTTGTAGGTTCCCCTTGTGTTATTTCCACAAATTGACTTGTCATTAGGTAACACATTTTCTTTTTTCAAATATCTCAATTGTGTGAATTACGAGTTCATTTAATTTAAGTCTCATTTGCTATCATTAAATTGTATTTTATATTTGAAAATGATAATGTAAAGTTAGCTGTATCAGTATGTAAATATGCAGACTTACTTTTTTCCCTCTGGTTCCTGCTGGACCATCAGAACCAGGTGGACCTCTTGCACCCTGTCAGCAAAATAGAATAAAAATACAGCATAGCTATTTAAAATCCGGGTTACACTTTATTTCGATAGTCCACTTTAGTTTATTCTGACTAAAAAATATTTGCGACATATAGTTCATAAATATTAAATTATGGTTAATGTTTTGGTTGCACTTTATTTTGAGAGTCCATTTTAGACATTCTACTAACTATAAGTAACTTTGTAACTACATGTCAACTACATGTCAACTAATTCTCAATAATTTGCAACTACATGTCTACTAACTCTCAGAGTAGACTGTTAGGGTAGGTTTAGGGCTAGTAGAATAAGTTGACAAAGAAAGTGTTAGAAGATATTAAGCAGACAGTCTACTAATACTCTACTAACTGCTAGTTGACATGTAGTTGCAAAGTTACTTACTGTTAATAGAATGTCTAAAGTGGAAATAAAAAATAAAGTGTTACCAAAATCCGACTATTAAAGAAGCACTTTTGTTACATTACATTATGCAAAAAAAAAAAAAAAAGTCAGTCTAAACGCTTTTAAAAATATATTTATGAAACATCAGTCTTCAGTTAAGTATCAGCAATGGATACAGGAAACAAACCTGATCTCCTCTCTGTCCTGGGCCTCCAGGAGTTCCGACAGGTCCTGGGGTTCCTGGTCCTCCCTGACCACCTGCAAGACCCTCTGGTCCTGGGTCTCCTCTGTCACCCTGAAAGCAAGTTAACACATCATTTGAACTTGATGACAATTTTTCAATAAGACGGTGTCAAATGTTGAATGGGTTCGTACTCTGGGTCCAATGATACCATCAGCTCCTTGAATTCCATCAGCTCCAGCCAAACCCTAGTTTAAAAAGGAATTTATCAAGGTAATGTTTTGTATATATGTTATCAATCAATCTTGATGGTGTATTTTTCACGCTGACATCTCATACCTCTGGGCCAGCATCTCCTCTGGGTCCAGCTGTTCCTGGCAAACCAACCGGTCCTGCACCACCTTTGGTTCCTTGAGAACCTGGGGTGCCAGCTTTTCCTGGTGGACCCTTGAAAAACCAAACAGATAGTAGATGAAGTGTCAAAGAAGTTGACTTTTGGCATCAATTAAATCATCAACCAACTAGATGCTGAGAAATGTAATTCCAGAAAAATTTCAAAATATTTGCTTGAAAGACAAGAAGATAAGTGGTGCCCTACCGCAGGTCCAGGAAGGCCAACCATACCACGCTCTCCTCTCATTCCAGGAAGACCCACAAGTCCCCTCTGCCCTGGAGTTCCAGCAGGTCCTGGGGGCCCATCTGGGCCCTAAGAAAGTTAAAGAAATATATGAGTTTTGGATTGAGTATTAACATGATTTCATTATAATTCTGTAGTATTAAACAAAAAATAGTTTAATAATAGTTTATTTTTCATCATTTATATATGAATGACATAAGCCAAAAACTGTCCTGCAAAAACTCAAATTTGAGTATTAAGGTATCCCATACTGGCAGTCCATCCTCTCCTGGTTCACTTTTGTCTCCAGGGCTACCAACAGGTCCAGGGTTACCACGCTCACCCTGCCGGCCAGGACCTCCAGGTTCTCCAGGAATCCCAGATGGGCCCTCTTTTGTACATTAATGAGGAAAAAAAATTAACTTAAATTATTTTAGCAAATGGCTGCAATATAACAAAGAGTGAAAAATTGAAGGGGGTCTGAATACTTTCCGTACCCACTGTATATATATGATTCTTTGATGAATAGAGATCAAAAGAACATTATTTATTTGAAATATATTTTGTACCACTCTTTACTGTACTTTTATAATGTATCCATCATTTTGCTCACCTGTGGTCCAGGTTTTCCTGCCATTCCCTGAGGCCCTGGAGACCCAGCCTCTCCCTTTGCACCTTCTTCTCAAAGTTCACCTTTAACTCCAGGCTGACCATCAGGACCCTACCACAAAAACATGACAATATTTACAACTTATACCATATTATATTAAAAATGTTTTTTATGGGTGAATGAATGGATGGATGGACTTACAGGAGGTCCAGCAAACCCAACAGGACCAGTAGGACCTGGCTCACCAGGTGAACCCTAAAACACAATACATCAATGGAATTGTGAACCACATGAGAAAAGATCTTCAGCAAACATAAGAGGTCGGGTTTTCTCCTGGTAAACTGCTCTACTCACAGCCATTGCTCTGGAGCCTGGAGATCCAGAAGGGCCTCTTGGGCCTTGTTCTCCCTGTAATTGAACAATCAGTTCTGAGTACATCTAAGTAGCAACAGCTGTAACATTTACTTTTTAATCAGTTCTTTTAAGAAACTAAGTATTAGTATTGCAGACAAAAACACAATGAGGCAGAACAGACAGGATCAATTTACCCAAAAACTCAAATTTGAGTATTAAGGTATCCCATACTGGCAGTCCATCCTCTCCTGGTTCACTTTTGTCTCCAGGGCTACCAACAGGTCCAGGGTTACCACGCTCACCCTGCCGGCCAGGACCTCCAGGTTCTCCAGGAATCCCAGATGGGCCCTCTTTACATGGGGCTCCAATAGGACCAGGCTCACCAACTGGACCCTGAAAATAATATCAGTGTAAGAGTCCACAAATGTTTTATTGGTCGAAAAGAATCTAACACATTGAAAATACTATCCGAAGGACTAGCTGTTAAGCACTGCTTTGTGGGTTAAATCCGTATTATGGAATCACGCACAGCAGAGCCTGCTAGGCCGACACCTCCTGGGGATCCTGGGAAACCACTGGGACCCTTTTAGCAAAAGAAGAAAACCAAAGAGGATTCCACAAAAGTGAGGAACAAAAGAAGTAAGAGGATTCAGCAAGTAACTGAGAATTTCTGAGTATGTCTAAGTCGATAAACAATGATTTTGGTACTTTGATTTTTGTAACTTACAGCTGCTCCTTGAGTTCCTCTGCCACCTTTGAGGCCTGTAATTCCAACCACTCCCTAAAAAAGCATTATGTTTATACATGTTTTTTGTTTCCTAAGGTACCAATATGGTCTATACATATACACACTACTGATATACAGTGAAAAAAAGATTTAGCTAAGTAAAAAAAAATATAAATAAATAAATAAAAAAAATCAAACCTTCTCCCCGGGTGGGCCAGCTGGTCCAACAGGTCCAGGCAATCCCTACAGACATCAATGACATTTTATTCAGTTTCTTTGTAACCCCTGCTGTATTAAGAAATGGATAATAAAATTTTAATGTGTATATTTCTGAATTCTAAATGATTGACTGGTAGGGTAAATTTTTCCAGTAAATTATGGCTCTGTGTTACTCACTCGAGCCCCATCATTGCCAGCCGCACCTTCTGTCCCTCTGTCACCCACTGCACCCTGAGAAAACAGATAAAGAGTATTAAAACACAAGGTTTTAAATTGATAAGAAAAACAGAATTCTGTTTGATGTGTTACAGATGTGGTTTCCTTCTCTACTTCAGAGCGCCACACAGATAATGTTTCACAGATAATATCAGAGAATATTAACTTCCTGCCTGAGGATATTAGCGAGTCATCCAGTATATGTCAACCACCATGCCTCACAGAGCTTTACCCACCAAGGCATTTAATATATGCAATATTGTTGCACTGATTGCAAAGAATGAAACTAAAATCTATACTGTATTTGTTATGCATGTGCAAATGTTTAACATGTGCCAAAGCCTTTGATAAAGCAGACCTGTTTTCTCTTATCTCTCAGAGCCACACTCACACTTTCTCCTTTAGGCCCGGCTAGTCCAGTTATCCCTCTCTCTCCTGGCATGCCCTGTAGGCCTGGTGGTCCTGCTTCTCCAACAATTCCAGCTGGACCTGGTTTACCCTGCACAGCCATTAACGTGTGTCAAGATTATTATATTGTTGTCCACAAAACTACAATAAAGTGTTTTTACTATGGTGAAAGCATTCAGTTAATCTGTTCCTTTTATTCGTCACAGTTATGCAAGTGGTGTTATTCTGTCATCTTTTAGGAACTAAATGCATGCATAGAGGCTTCAGTCTGGATTATTAAAAATCTGGCTCTAACCTTGGGACCATCAGGTCCAGGGGTTCCTGGGCTTCCTTTGAGTCCTGGTAAACCATTAGATCCAGGTTCACCTCTCTCTCCTGGGGTTCCCACGTTCACCCTACAAAAACGACAGATAAAAACAATGTGAGACTGTAACTAAATTCTAAATGCTGTGCACTCATACACTGCAGTGTAAGTACAATAGGCTTACCCTTGGACCAGTCTGCCCTGCACCACCAGCCTCTCCATGGATACCCTGAGGGGAAAAATTAAAAGTCAGATTCTTTAATAATTCCCAATCTCAGACAATTTGTGTTCTTCCTCACCAGCAGAAATGACATGCAGTAAAGACCAGAATACAGCGATCAGGTAAAAGAGCCCAAAGAAATTATGAACTCACCTCATCACCTGGTTTTCCTGACTCTCCTGGTGGGCCTGGGGGTCCAGGTAAACCCTACAATTTAGGATAATAAAAGATGATGTAACTCTTCCAGGAATAAATCATATCAAATTTACTTTGTGTAAGATATGTGAAATATTTAAGGATTATATGTTTTTATTATTTTATTTTTGTCCATGTGTACTGTTAGTCAAATCCATACCAAAAAATGATTTCGTGCAGAGCAGCAGGTGCTACACACAACCAGGAGCAATACAATGTTTGATGGATTTTCCCACTTTTTATGTGTTCTATGACCTTGCCTGCCCAGACAAATAAATAAGTGTCATTGTTAATGTGGGCAAAAATCCTAGGATATCACAATGAACTGGTTTTGCTTGATTTTGTCTTTTTGGACTAAGGAGGAAGCTTTGAGGCCAAAAACGTGCAGTTTGTTATCTTAGTGCATCAAATTCATTTATATGACAATATCAAAGAAAATGTCTTACGATACACTCTTAACAAAAATGGTGCTAAATAGCACTAAAATTGGTTAATTGACTTGTAATCAAAGGAGAACCACTATAAGTGCTATATAGCACCTATCTTTAAAGGTGCTATACAGCACCTTTGTCAAATGGTGATATGTAGAACCATAAGAGGAACCCCATTCTCCTCCTTAGATTTTAGATATATTACACCACTCTTAAATGTTTGCTATGAATGGGAATTTACTACAAATGGCAAAAGCTGTTTTTAATCAGTTTTATGCTTTTCTGTGGTCAAAAAGTCTCGTGTGGGGGACCTGGAATGCTTCCTTATGGGGGGCCTTGGGGGCAAAAAGGTTGAGAACCATGTTATCTTCAGTGTGTGGACAGTGAGGGTCATGTTTAAAAGTCATCTCTGACTGGAACCATAGCCGAAGAAATAAGAACATACTTGGAAGCCAGTTAGTCCAGGAGGTCCCTGTTCTCCTCTCTTTCCTGCTACTCCCTGAAAAGAAATACAATAAACCCAACTGTGTATTGTAGTAAGCTCCTCCTCTTAATAATGTACCACTCAGATGTATTACTTGAGATAGCTGAGAAATCAACCAACCAAAAATATACAGAAAATGTAAGTAGCCATAAATGTGCATTAAATGATTGGAAGACTCACAGGAGCTCCTGGAGTTCCAGCTGGACCTTCTTCTCCATCTTTTTCATTCGGTCCCTGCAGGAATAATAACCATCATATCAAATCATAATGATTGTCTTGACTTTTAAATCACTACGCTATACAATACCAGCACTGACAGGCCATCTGAAATACTACAACAGAAGCATTTACACAAGAAGAGAATGACATTTAAAATAGCTTGTTGTGAAAAGTTACAGTATGTTATAAGGTTGCCACAACAATGTTGCACCATAATTGCAAGCCAGGACTCACTCTTTGTCCTGGAGCTCCTGGTGATCCTGTCTCTCCTGCTTTCCCTGGATCACCCTGCATATTCAGATTTTTTTTTTTTTAATTGCATAATAGGAACAAGATAAAGGGGAAAATCATCACATGAAACTTTATAACTGACCATAAAAATGTCATTACAAAATGTATTATCATAGACTCTGTCTTATGCATTCTTTTCAGTATACATTTTAACATGTATACTGCAATATTATTGGGTTTCATCCATTACATGCACTGGAATTTGTCAACTGAAATGTCTTCAAATAATGCTTTATCTATATTAAAACATTTATAACATCCTGAAATAAAGATCTGGTCAGTGGCTTTCATCATCCTTCAAGGGGCTTTCAATGTAATGTCTAATACCATGAGTTTTGACACTATGTGTGATGGAAATTATATTTCTCACTTTAGAGAAAAGGCTGAATAACCTTGGACTTACAATACAAACCCAATGAGTTTTCTAGCAACCAATTAACTTTAATGCAAAAAAAAAAAAATCTTTAAAAGATTTTCCCTGATTTTAACAAATAGGGGAAGCTAAAATGTCAGAATAGCAGGCAAGCCCAAAATAGTGTCATTCTGGTAAATGTAACATTTCAACACTGTTAAAAATTAAGAAAACACAATTAAAGTGATAAAAATGTAAGTTGTTATAATATATCCTTTGAAATTAGACAGATAGTTATATAACTTTATATA